CTATAGCCTATACTATATGCCCTATAGCCTTTAATCTATGCGCCTATAGCCTATAATATATGCCCTATAGCCTATAATCTACCCTTTAGCCTATAATCTATGCACCCATAGCCTATAATATATGCCCTATAGCCTATAATCTATGTACCTATAATGAATGAATGATGAATGTGGTGGTGTCAGACCAGTGTGGTGATAAAACAAAGCATTGTGGCAGTACCACCATGCTGTTTTGTATTCTTGTGAGAACACTGATTGTGTCTATTTTTATCACCATCCCCTAACCCTCCCTATACAACATTAGATTACCCCTATCGGTGATTAAATACATATGGTAACATGGTTTTATGGTTTAGAGTTACACATGATGGGAAAGATGTTACAGAAAATGTCTGTAATTATCATCATTCATGGTGTATCAAGCCGACTCACAGAAAACATAATTTATGTCTGTTTGAAAAAAATTGCTTGCCATGTTTCATTCTATGTCCTTGTAAGCAAATTTGAATTCAATTTCTCCAGGGCAGTTAAATCTAATATTAATTTGACAAAAAAATATACGAGTTATGCAAATGAAAACATTTTACACCGCAGCTTAATGACCGCACACATAAGCAAGTTACATGCAAATAAGGTTTGCTGTGTGTATATATATATATATATATATTTAATTTACTGTTACCTCTTAATGTATTTTCTGGTTTCCCTACAACTGTAGCTATATCCCGCCCACTGTATCTATACTTACTGCAAGGCGCCGTTAAGATAATTGAATGTATTTCCTTTACAGTGTCCTCCCTACCTTGTCTTATCATCACATTACTTCCTGTGTGGATAAATAAGATAAATTTTGTGTATATTTATCTTTGTATTCATTTTCCATTACTTGTCTATCAAAATCTGCAACCCTTTTAGTGGAACATACATTGTCACCAGAACTGCACATGTGGGTATTCCACTTCTCTATCCCCGGTATTAGTTTTCTTCTGTATTCTGGTCTTTACCAATATTTTATACACTGAATGTGGTTCATTCAGATGCAATATAGCTATAAAGTGCTAAACATAGCTGATGGTATCATCAGAATCCCTGAACTATTGACCAAGCCCAACAAGTAATTTAATTTTATTAATTTTTCGTGTTTACTAGCTTGCCTGTAGGTGCATTAAGCCTTTTAATAACGATCTGAAAACTAGTTACGGTATAAACATTCTTGTTTCTTTCTATACCTGGAGGATATATCTGTGATAAATGAAATACAATATGATGAGAAAAGTGATAAAATATCACTTTGAGAATTTTATTTTATAATATTTTCATCTCTGGGGGATGTCATGTGTTAGTAAATTATTATTATTATTATGCTTTGATATGCTGGAGATCAAGCCAGATATAACTGCTGGCCTTCCAATATAACAAACAAACCATAGGCAGCAGATTTCAATCTGTGGTTTCCTGTCAGTTTCCTAAGTCTTCTCAGTCTTTTTTACTTGACTGCTTTGTGCGAGAAATTCTCATCATTAATCTATTAAAATATTTCTGTTTACATATAACGATTATTTTTAAGGTATTGGTAGACTTCACCAACAAATTAGGCACTTTGAGGGGGTACTTTCAGATAATAAAAAAATAAATAAAAACAGATCAAAATAACAGCTGATTTATGATCATGTTAAAAATATCACAAACTCAAAAACAACATCAGTTTAGAAACTTGTTTCTTTATATCTGGGTCAGTATTATGAGTAAAGATAATAAGGGTGACACAGTGCTCTATTAAAAGCACATCCCAAATACTGTGGAATACTTTATTTTCGCTGGAATTAATTTTCGCTGAAAAGTCTTTTTGGGCGTTTTGTATGGAATTTATTTTCACTGATTTCTGATGAGTTTAATGTGAAATATAGGAAAAAAAGTATATTCACTGGATTTTATTTTCACGGAATCATCCCTTTAGCGAAAATAACGAAAATAAATTCCAAGCGAAAATAAAGTATTCTACAGTAGGTGTGAAAATAGACCAATAAATGTATACTGGATTATCAAAATGACTTATGACTTACTGTAAAATCTGTATTAGAAGCCGCGACTTCTATTGAAATGGTACAATGCAACAGAGGGGATGCGGCTTCTATTAGAGCATCTACACATATGAGAAATGATGAATTTTTGGTTCTCAATTGTTCAAAAAGAATGGGTGCGACTTCTATTAGAGATACGGCTTCTAATACAGATTTTACGGTATTTGGGCCATAGACATGCCTGTTATTTACGTAAGCATATACGGTACTCGTACATGGAATCAAAGACATTGGAAAAAGATCTTTTCTATTGTCTTTGATGGAATCTAGTCATTTAGTGATACATAGTTTGGGCTAAGATTAAAGCTACTCCTATATGTTTGCATATCAGCTAGACCCTGCTCCATTCATGTGTAGAAATGACCTGCATGGAACATGGGCTACGCGATGATCAAACATACTAAGAATATACAAACCTCTAGTCTGTTTAACTTTGATTTCACAGTAATCAGGGAGTTATACATTTTAGCTCCATGATTATAAAACTATAACAGTGCAAATGCCGAAAGTACAAGTTGCAGAATAGGAGGAAGTATTTAGTAGTACAGTCTCATTATCAGTTCATTTGTCGAATGGAGCTTATCATATGAGTGATTGCATGTCGTCCTTTGTTGTTTGTGCCAACTTTTTACTTCTTCAACTTCTTCTTGAAAACTACAAGCCTGATTGCTTTGATACTTGGTCTATATGTGCCTTGGGTAGGCTTCTCTTAGATTTGTTCATTTCGTGATATCTTTAATTCAATATTTTTGTAATTTTGGTAAAAAGTGATATTTTTGACTTCTTGTTGAAAACCGCAAGTCAGATTGCTTTGATATTATACATATAGGTATCACAGGTAGACCTCTCTGAGATTTGTTAATTTCGTGATGATATCTTCAATCTTATTTTGATGAATATGTTTAATTGAAGTGTGCATTGCTAACAGCGGAGCTATCTCAGCTAGGAGGCTGCTTGTTTTTTCTTCAGAACAAAGTTTCTTGATTCTCTCATGTTGCTTGTCATGTTGGAAATGACATATCAGAATGAATAATCATGAATATAAAAGTAAACCTTTCAAATAGACAACTACTGTAGAATACTTTATTTTCGCTTGGAATTTATTTTCGCTGAAGGGATGATTCCGTGAAAGTAAAATCCAGCGAATATACTTTTTTCCCATATTTTACATTAAACTCATCAAAAATCAGTAAAAATAAATTCCATACATAATGCCCAAAACGTCTTTTCAGCGAAAATTAATTCCAGCGATAATAAAGTATTCCACAGTATACTCGTATTTTGTTGTCATATTGTCAACCCACAGGGTACTCAATTCAGGCTAACTGTTTGTGCACACATTGTTAGCCTAAATATTAAAGTTGTAGACTGGTTCACATTCAGATTCATCATACTAGGTGTTCCTTAGACCATACATGTACCTAGTGTTCTTATGCCTGTTTCTAAGTATGAGCTATCGTGTGCCCACTGAGTCTGTGCTGAGAAGATGCATGTGCACAAATGCATAGTTTATCTCAGTCAGGTTTCTATCCTAAACATAGAAACACAGTCCCTCAACACCATTGTTGAAGGACTGTGTTGAGAGACTGTGATAGGAATATGTTTCCTGGTAGCTTTTTTCACATACAAACCGGTGTAACCATCACCATGGTGACATGATATTAATGATATCTTGTTGTTCGGAAGCAGTTGTCACCTTGTGTGTCTTTCAGAATACTGGTAGTATCAAATTGCAACCACGAGGCTGCAGTTTCAAGTAGATTAGGGTGATTGAGTTATCTTTATTATGCCCACATTGCAATCTTGATATTAAATTATATTTTTGAATAATTTTTATATTGAATACTATAATATTCACTGTGTTTAATTTTAGCAGATTCAATGTTGCAGGGATCTTCACTAGATTTTAAATTCACTGGTTAAATTAAATGTATACAAAAGTAAAGTTAATTTTAATTTAGTGAATTTAGCCAACAGCAAAATAAGCAATTATTAATACCAGAAATAATTAATCCATGTATTGTAAGTGAAATATTAGTTTATGTTCATCCAAAATGGTATGGTCATTCAGGGATTTTGGTAATATCTTGTGAGCGTACAATTCTATAATCCTTCATTGATATAGCACAAAGTCATCATTTCGGGGGGGGGGGGGGGGGGTTGTAATTTATTTGTGGTCTGTCTGTCCAATCGTCTGGAGCCATTTCTGAGACATACTTGGACTGATCACATTCATACTTACATATGTTACCAGCAATGACTGATCACTTCACAGCACAATGTATGTCCACACACCTGGATTGCTGCTAGTGAAGAAGGACTTTGGCATTAAATAAAGAACATGACTGTGCGTTATCAATATTTGCAATACTTGTTCTGTTTTAATTTCAGTTTTATGATGTAAATTTTTTTTTTTTATTAATTTCTTAAGATGAAATTTGAAGGATTTGTGTTTTGGGTTCCATTTGTCTATGCTTGCGTCCATCCGTGCTTGTGTCTGTCCGTCTGTCTGTCCATCATTTTTGGACATGACTAAATCAACATGTCATAATTATGTACATATGCATGTCAATTCGTTCCATAAACCTTTGACCGACTAACTACCTTTTTTTTTTTTTATCAAGACACATCTAAAAACAACATTTGAACATGCTGTGAATCATTTCTTGGGTATGCCTTAAGCAATTTCAAACTCAAACTTGATATTAACATCACTCATGGTGGGTTTCTGATGGATGACATTTTGTTTCGTGATTTTATTGAAAATACGTGACTGGTGAACATTTTGTTTTTCTTTTGCGTCATAACCATTTCTTGTGTGTCATACCCATTTCTTGTGCATGGTGGGCGATTTGATTCATAATGTGCAACTGGTGGCCCTGTTGGTTTTATTTAGGTGTGTCTTTATGACAATTTTATTTTGAAGCTGTTACAAAGACAATACACTATTTTGTGCATTTTCAACCGTATACATTATATTTTGTTTACGTGTTTTTGTTTACAAAAATTTTAGAATAAAAATTAAAAAGCTGTATTGATTTTAGAAAACAATTTTTTGTTGCAGCCTTACAAATTTACTTGCTCCTGATATATTGCATATGGCAATATTTGTCATTGTTTCAGTGTAAAAATAGCATCGCTGTCAAAAAGGTGACCTCGTTGAGAAAATATTTAAACCGTTGTACCAAAGTCAAATTGATGACCTCAAAAAGGAATTATTTTTATTGCAGCTGGTAAAACCATTAGATGAATTTATATTTAGAATACGGGTAAAATAAAACGCGTTTTCATCTTCCATGATGACCTATTTTTATGATTTTAGTTACGGTAGTTAATAATAAAATAAAACCTTTTTAGAAATCTCATTATATTCAATTTGTCATCATCTAAATGTTTAAAAGAAAGAAAAGGAATGTATTTTATTATATAAAGTGCTTGTGTAGAAATACAATATGTGAAGGAGTGTACACTGAATGGATCTATAGAGTCGCTATACACAGGCGTGTGAATAAAAACAGACTGTTATTCTACTAACGTCTTTGTTTATCTCGTGTTCTATTTAGGTATGAAAGACCATTTGACAGACACGATTGGATCGTTGATCGGTGTGGAAAGAGCGTTCGTTATGTGATTGATTACTACGATGGAGGTTCTATTGACACAAACACGGGAGAATTCACCATCCTGGATGTCAGACCTGCCTTAGATTCGCCAACTGCATTGTGGGATAGGATGAAAGTTGCTTACTGGAGGTGGAGGTTTGCAGACAAACAGACTGACCAGGTGGTGGAGCATACTGCCTCGCCTGACTCTGCTAGATAGTATGCAAGAATGTTTAAAATCATGATCATTTTGGGTGATTTAGAATAACATGTTTTCCATTCAAGAAGAATAAACTTGACATTTATTAGTGAATCAATGTGAAAATTAGTATTTTTTTCTTTGTGCTGTGTACCGTAAAAACTTTTCGATCACTCTTTAATAATTAACTAGTTTAGAAATACAAAAAATACAATTTTGTACTGATTGAGTACAGAAACATTAGATGACATCAGAAGTACATTACTTGGGGTTTGCAACTACGGTGACATGATAAAATGCAAATGTGCATGCCCGAGGTAACTAGGATACTGGGATGTCCAGGTGGATCAAAATAGCTGCTCATGATATGACGGATTACGATAATTATATTTTCTGTACATTTTCGATGTATTACATTTTTTCATTATGAATGTGGTAATACATGTTTTATTGTTTTATTACAAACCGCCTATGTCATGTCAGAAGGTCGTAGCATCAGTCTCGCTATCTACGAGATGAGACTTGAATGGGATCTTGACATGTCACCATACAGTACTATGCGCGTTGCAATCCCTAAGTTCCTCTGATGGTATACATTGTGCATCATTTGTTGTCAGAAAGCAACCAGTTCATTAAAACACAAACAATTATTTTTCAGTATCATGAAAGCTGTTAAAACTCGTTCAGTGCTCTTTTTACCTTTTAAAAAAGTGCTCATCGCTACTATAAGAAATCTTGCAGCGAAATCAATGGCAATGGATCATGCTACAACAATAACAAACTACGGTAACTGTCAGTAGTAAAGTGCAGTATTTTAATTGGTTAATGGCATTCTCGACCTATCAGGGAAAGGACGCCGTGGAATGGTCAATTTGTATTCAAGAAAAATGTCCGATTTTAGCATTTGTACGGAATTGATTGAGTGTTTGAAATAACATTCTCTCACAATATAACAAACTTGTATATTTAAATCAATTTTCAGAGTAGGTGAAATTCTATGGTTTTAACAGCATTTTATCCCATTGTTAATACCAGTATAATCTGCTCTATTTTAAGGTTTTCTAATTATAGTCTAGAGAGGGCGCACTTTATTCAGTGATGTTCTGACTCATTGAAGTATGTAACTTTAATGACATTGAAATAAACATGCGTGATGCGTCCGTCAATTGTCATTTTTCAGACATGCCTGGATTTAGATCAAAGTTCACACAAAGGCAAGTCATATCATTATTTGAACACGTTACTAATCATTTCTCAGGCATGCCTGAACAGATTTCATTCAAACTTGGTATAACCTGTAAGACCTATACATAATGGAAAATTATGTACAATTTAGAGCAATTTGGAGCAAAATGCATAACAATAAGCAAGACATTTTGGTGAGAAAATTATGTCACTGCATTTGCTGAGTTTTGGTTCTTGAAAAACATCTTGTAGTTATGGAATTTATTTGGTAAAATGAAATTTATACTTTATTATGAACAAAAATAACTATAAATGCAATGTAGTCACAAGCCATGTCATTTGTTTGTGTCTTTAGTGACCTATACAGTCACAAGTTTATTTGTTTCATGAAGAAATCTCCATAGCAGTGAGCAAGCTGACTCAACTTGATTATGGTCGATTTCATTTTGACTTGGGATTCCTACAAATTCAGACCTGTTTAGAGGGCACACTGCATTCTGTGTTTGAATCGCTTTGCATTTCAAATGAAAAAGCATCAGATAACTATCCCGTAATGTACCACTGGATACAATACTACAAACACAGGTAGGGAATTTAGCATATTGGTCATTTTAACGTGACGGTGAAATTGTATATCCGTGTGTTAACATAAAACATGTCATGGTTAAACCAAGTAAGGAATTCGGCATTAATATCTGTTCGTTAATATGATAGTGAAATTGTAAAAAGAATCTGGCATATCGGAAATATCCAAATTAATATAATCCCTAATAATACAATCATTTTGTGTAAAACCACCAATATTCTAAGATATTGGAGTATGTTGTGATTCTTTGCCATGATGTCAAAAGTTCAATCTGCTTGCATCGACCAATCAGATTACTGGGATTTTTATTTCATAGTATAGGGATTTCGAAAATTACTACACTGAACTGCCATGATATATGGGATAAAACTCATCATTTTATTTAAAACAAATGCGTTGAAGAAAATTAAAAAACAAATGCATGTAGACATTAGATCTGCCGGGAATGGTGAGGATGTGTTGTATAAACAAAATTGAATTTTACATTCATTGATTATGTGTCAACGACCCATGTTACTTGGGACGAACACTGTCTTTTATCTCATCAACGTGTTGCAGTCGATGTTACAATCAGTCTTAAAATAGTTGACACTAATTCATGATAAAATGAAAGCTTTACAATGTGAAAATAATAATGATGTAATAACATGCATTCTATACGATGACAGTATTAGGTACAATAACTATAAACAACAGCTGCTTGTAACACTGCAATACTGTGAAAGGGTTAATTATTCACTGGGTTTTAATTTTGCTTATTTCGCTGACTGTAAAATGCGCTAAATTCAAACCCAGTGAATATGTAAAATTTAGCATTGAACACATTATCTAAATGATAACACTGTGAATTTAAAACCCAAAGAATAAACCTGAAATGGTAAATCATCGAAATTTAAACACAGTGAAAATTAGTCATTTTACAGTAGTCTATATTTTCTCCTCGCTGTGATGGCTTTCAGTCTATTGAAAAAATAATTTTGCTTTGTGTTTATTATTATAGACCCACTGTATAAATGTCATGAAAGTGTTGACCTTTCAATACCCCCCACCAAAATTTTGATGCAAAATTTTTGATGTTTTTGAGTAATTCTTTTTTAAATGTCTTTGTTAATTTTAGACCTAAAATTAATTGCTATAGCTTTTAATTATAATTTTTTGATAAAAATATTACGCAGGTTAATACTGTCAATTTGATTAAATTGAGGTGTGTATTGATTACACTGACGTCAACAAAGCCATGTATATTATAAATTACTAGATATTATCAACATAAATGGCAGTCGCTCATTGTATGCATTCATGGTGTGATGTCACAGTAGATCCAAGATGGGAAAGTAACAATCGACCAACCACAAATCATCATAGGATGTCTATTGATGTACAAGCACTTTGCATAATGGAGGGAGAATCCTGCCTAGCTAATCCAATCCAATCATTTTATTTGGATTTCAAGAAATAATTATTGGATGCAGAAGTATTTATGAGTATAAACTTGAGTTAATTGACTCTAGTGTATATTAGTGAAACGCATGTAATTATTATTGTTTAGGTTATAAGTCTATGGTGAAAGGTTCAGTTTACACAGATGACAAGTGTTAATGGTGTTCAGTTTACACAGATGACTTAAGTGTTCATGGTGTTCAGTTTACACAAGTGACTAGTGTTTATGGTGTTCAGTTTACACAGGTGACTAGTGTTTATGGTGTTCAGTTTACACAGATGACTTAAGTGTTCATGGTGTTCAGTTTACATAGGTGACTAGTGTTTATGGTGTTCAGTTTACACAGATGACTTTAGTGTTCATGGTGTTCAGTTTACACAAGTGACTAGTGTTTATGGTGTTCAGTTTACACAGGTGACTAGTGTTTATGGTGTTCAGTTTACACAGATGACTTAAGTGTTCATGGTGTTCAGTTTACACAAGTGACTAGTGTTTATGGTGTTCAGTTTACACAGGTGACTAGTAGTGTTTATGGTGTTTGGTTTACTGTATCAGGAAATTAAATACAAGTCTTACAACCTCACTCTAAGATAAGTGTTCCAGATTCAGATATGTACCGAACATTTTTTTTTAGTTTCTGATGTAGGCATTTAGGTTACCCTTGTAAGTTAATGTAATTTTTGTGAAATATGAGAAAAAAATAATTTTTCTTCATGCACACTGATGATGCAGGGAGAAATAAGGTAAACAGTTGATTAGAAGTTTATTGTCATTCAAAAATGAGATGTAAATGTTGGTGCACCAGCTGCCTCGTTATTGACAAACTATGCTAGTTATGTCATCAATGAAAATTACCTGGCAGTGCAGGAATTTGTGAGAAAAAAATGTTAATGATGTAGATCAAGTAATGAAAATTGTTGGGGGTTGACCACTAGAAATTTTGGGGTTGGGTTTTGAGAAAAATATTTGTGCACACAGAAAATCGCTATCTCACAAAAAAAAAAATCAACATGTGAAATAAAAAAATAAAAAAAAAAATAAACAGGACAAAAATAACTTTCACTGTAGCTCTACCATCTTTCATCTGAGAGGTTATAATAATAACATCAAATACAAAATTAGTTATCTTGCAAATGTAATGAGCCCTCTTCTAAAATTCAACATCCCGCCATAACATTTTATGACTGCTAAGTTGCCGCAAGCAAGACAATTCTGATTGCATTAACCGAGGTCAAATACACGTATTTATATCAGCGAAACACTTGAACTGAACGCTGAAAAATTAACATTAGAAATAACAAAAAATCTCTTTGTGCAATATCTTACACTCAGATCTAAGGTTGATTGTAACTTACACAACCATAACTGAATTACTGATATCAATCAGATGTTAGGAACATATGGCACATCTGTTAATGAAGGAAAAGTGATAAAAATTGTATGATACTTTTGATATTAAACTAAATAATGACATTTGTTACATTATTCTGTTTTCATTGATGGAGTGCACTTACTGATATATCTACAGGAATCCGTAAGAATCATTAAATGAGATAATTATATATGTACACTAAGGTATGTATGTTATAAATTATATACAAATTCAAATGACAGCTTGTGCAGTGACGTAAGCTGTTCTACTCTACTGTAAATGCAGTAATTATTCACTGCGTTTTAATTTCGCTATTTTCCTTGATATGTAAAATCTGAAAATTAAATCGACATGAAAATGTAAAATAACAATAAAACTCATTGTTTCCTTGACAAATTCATGAAATTAAAACGCAGTGAATATATACACAAAACATCAAAATAGTGAAATTAAATGTCAGTGAAAATAAAATGTTTTTACAGTATCTGTGTTAACTTCATGGGATGGAGTGAGGTGTCTGCCATCCATCCATGTGACTGAAAAAC